TGCCTAGAGCTGGGGCTGGGATCCCGTGATCTGGAGTGAGGAGGGGCAGCTCCCATCGGTGAAGAGCCTCATTCCTTATGTGAACTGCTTATTCCAGAGGCTTGTTTACCAGGCCCAGAGGGACTGCTCTGGCCGGTAGGTACCATGGCTGGTACTGCCCGCTCCCTACAGCATGTACCCTGGGGACCAGAATTCACTTCCTCTGGAGAAGCTGCTGTATCTTACTGCCCAGCCTGTGTGCCAGCCCCCTTTATCCAAGGGCAGTACTGTGGGATGGCTGTCACAGCCCTCGTTAAACTGCTGATCCAGGCCTGCTTTGTTAGCAGTTGAGCACCCCTGGGTGCCGTGCTCAGCGTGTAGGTGGGAGCCAGATCCAGGGAGCAGAGGTCTGACAAGCAGAGTAGGCAGTGAAGGGACAAATTGAGAAGGATGCCTGCTGGATCAACCCCTACCCAACTGGGGTATACCTCACCCCCTACCCACTCTGGTCACCCAGGAGCCCCCACAGCCCATCCCCTTCCTCTCTGGCCCAGTGATTGCTAAGTTAAAGCCTTGTCTGAGCTTCTGCAGCGCTGAATGGCCAAAGCATCATCCTGGCTGAGGGGTGGGGGGCTTCACGGCATCTTGCAGCGGGAGTGGAAGAGGCAGGCTGGGGCAGCTGTGGTGGCGGTGGAGCCTGTCTCCGCTGCCACGCTCGGCGCTAGCACTGTCCGAGTGGGGAGTAGTGGTGGCAGCCCCTTGCAGGTGGCTCCGTTGATCAGTGGGTGGCGGCGGGGGCCCCGCCAGTCCTGCAGGGAGGAGGTGTGATCGAGTGGCCCCTCCATGCCTAGCCCTGTCCTACCACCCCACATAGCCCAGAGCAGAGGGAGGTGGTGCCTGGGAGCAGAGTGGGGCAGTCTGGGGGGAGATGGGGGCACAGGGTCAGAGTAGAGTCAGACCTGGGTCCCATCCCTGCCAGAGGGCAGTGGTGTCCAGTGGCTGGAGCAGGTGGGGGGTGGGGGGGATGGAGGACCAGACACCTGGGTTCCATAACCTGCCCCGGGGGAGCAGTTTGGCCCAGTGGTTAGAACGGGGGCAGGGCATTTGGGTCCCATCTCCCCCTCCCCAGGGAAGGCAG